TGAGCTCATGCCACAAACTATTTGAGAAAGAGAGTGGCCAATCTAACTGCTGGTTTACTGTGATTACAGATAAAACGCAGAAATTCTGAGCTCATGCCACAAACTATTTGAGAGAGTGGCCAATCTAATTGCTGGTTTCCTGTGATTACAGACAAAATGCAGAAATCCTGCATGTGCCTGGTCCAGTTTTGGGAAATTCATAGTAGCAGGAGCCAAGGTAATAATGCTAGTGCCAGATTTTCTTTTATATAAGGGAAGACGCTATATCCCATTCTACAGGAGGTTTCATGTTATTCTTCCCACCCCAGAAGACAGAGCTGTATGATAGATGAATCAATTAATTCAATAGTTTTACCTTGAACAACTGAACTCCAATGCAGGCAAACATGAACTGCAGCAAAGTGGTTACAATCACAATGTTCCCAATGGTTCGGATGGCAACAAACACACACTGGACCACGTGCTGCAGATGTAAAATAGGAACAAGAGTAACTTGTAGGACCATTCTGAGATGCTCGGGCTAGGTAAGAAGACCATGACTACAACAACAAATAAATGCATTTGATTTAACTACTACCATTAAGTAATCTCAGGAAAGAAAACCTACCCCTTACATACTTCATTGTACATTGCAGGCAAAAAGGAGCGGGAAAACAACAGAGCTCAGATCTTTACTATGTTCAGCAATACCTCCTTACTTAGCTTGACACCTACCAGACCACTTGGGGAATTTAGCTAGTAGTACAATAGTGCAAGAACTTAAGTAGGCTTGTGAGCCCATCTGTAACTTTAGCAAATCGCATCTGGCCTTATACGTGATCCTTAAACTGGCACTTCACTGTTGTAGAAGTCCTGGTAGACTGAAGAATACTTGACTTTATAAATTACATAATTCATTGGGACTATTCTAACCTTTAGGCCTTTAGCTCTATTGATGGCCCTCAGTGGTCTGAGCACTCGCAGAACACGTAGGATCTTCACCACATTGATAGCACTGGACCTGGAAGAAGGTATCAAAAGGTCAGCTTTGACAGACACAGCAATATGGCACAGGACATGCTGTAAGAGGCAGGTAGCCTTCATCCACTCATCCTCATCTGAAGTCCTACACAGCCTTGGACTGGTTAGGGTCAGCTCTGTGCTACCTGCTATGGCAAGTCAGGGCATTTGATGATTTGGATCAGAACTCAAACCGATTTGCTTCAAATGCAATTGTTGATTTTACTAACCTAGCCTCTTTTTAACAGTTTGCAGTTTACAGCTTAGGGCTCACAGATGATTGTGGCTGTTTTTAGCTACAAAAAAATGCATATTCTTACTGAATGGTATACCAACAAACATTTCAACCTTATATAAGAAACATGAGTAAACATATGATTCAGATATTAGCAATGCTAATGGCATATGCACGAAGAAAGTATATTATCTTTACAATTTTAAATATGTTTGAAAAATGACAGAGAACTTTTATTCCGGGCATTTTACAAACAATTCTAACAGGGGTGAGGAAGCCACCCTATGCCACTCTATGGAGTTTTTTATGTAGGTCTTGCATCCTGATCTATGCAGGCTCAGGATACATTTGCCTGGTGTTCACTATCCCTGTTGTATTAACGAAGGTAATGGAATATAGGCAGTCCTTTTAAGCAGGGCAAGATGCCAAATACTCTAAAGATATTTAGCAGAAATTTTGTCAAGATGTAGTCATCACATGTAATTTTAAAAGTAGATTCAGAGAAGCACTCTGTTGAAATGTTATTAGAAGAAAGGGAAGTCCAGGTGTCTCTGGCATTTGAAGGTATACCACCCGGCTGTGTTTGATCGTGCAATGTACTGGCCTCTGGCCCAGCAAATCAATTAAGAGTGTACATAACTTTTAGAATGTGGAAACTCCCACTGAATTAATTAGGGTTACTTATGTACTTAATCTTAAGTTGCTAACAGAACTGTCTGCTACAATAAGGCCACAGCTCTCTGCATCTTTGAAAAGTGAAACCTTGACCAAGAATTTTCTCCATGCTGTATGACATGAGGCCCTCCTACTGATTTTGGGAATAACCTTATTTCTGTAACATATAAAGAGCCTATTCCAAAGCTTCAGTATAAACTTATTAAGAAAATTATAAGATCAACCAATACAAAGTGCAAGTGACAGAAGTAGGAGCAACTGACACTGCCACCACTGCTCTGTAGATTCTCCAAAAGCTCTTCAAGTGCTTGATAATATTTTACTGACCAAGACTCTTAGGGAATAGCAAAATCTTATCACCCAGCTTTCCAAAGAGGAAAAATAGCTCTGAGAGGAAGCAGTTAAGTCTCTTAACTGTCCTGAACTGATACAGTAACTCAGATCTTGGAACTGAATGTCATGATTACCAATGGTCCAAATTTCCTGTTCTCATTTGTTCCTTCTGGGAGGTCTGGGTCATTAGTGGTCAACAATTGGTCAACAGGCCAACTATTACATCTCCTCCCAAGGATGTCTTCTATGTCTCCTGAATCCTCTGGGAAGAATACTTTCAGGCTCACAAGAAAAATCCTACCCAGATAAGACAATGAGACTGAGGTATCATCTCCCATCCCAGATACAGAAATATCAAACGAGTTTAAAATTGCTCACTCACTGGATCCCAAAGGAGATGAGAGAAACGCTGACCACCAGCAGGTCTAAGATGTTGAAATAGTTCCTGCAGAAGGAGCCTTTATGGAGGAAAGCCCCATAAGCAGTCATCTGTAGGGAGGTACACGAAGACAAAAACACACTTTGCCATTAGCATCTCTTCAGAAACCAAGCCTCACTAGCTGTGTTCAGAGTGTATGTTTGGGGAGGGGAAGTATTTCTAACATAGCAGACAATTTACCCCCAGATCCCAAAGAAGAAGATGAAAAAGAAAGAGTGAAGAAGACAGTAGAAAAACTGAGAGACAACTAACTAAGGAAAGCCAATGTTAGGTTCAGTGAGGAAGAAGATGCTCATATGGTTACTCTAGTCTCTTTTTCTCTGCACTTCCAGTGTCTAGAATATGTAACAATCACAATCAGCAAAGCAGCATAATGACTGCTTGAAAAAATTACTCTTTGCAATCATACGATTTTCCCTTTATCTTCAGTGGCAGAGGACACTTGGGAGTATTCTATTATATAAAGGCCTCCTTGCCTAAATTGAATAAAAATATAAGATAAAAAGGAACTCTTCTGTGATGCTTTTAGAGCTTAAACCAGCTGCAGTGGACACTTGTGCTTTCTTTCTCTCTGAGGAAGAAAAAAAAAAAACACAGAATCCTCAGGGATTTCACGTTTAGGACTACAGCTTAAGCAACAGGAGGACTCCTGTTCTCTTCCATTTGCTCC